GGGGCGGGGCTCGTGGGGCCCGTCCGACCGGCAGCACGAGGATGAGTGTGAGCCCCAGGGGGCAGCCCACACGGACCTTAACATGGGAGGACAGCCCCTAGCCCGCACAGTGAACCTGGCACGTGCCTTGAGTGCCTTCAGCAGCCCCCCCGTCCCCACCCGCAGCACCCCACTCCTGACCTTCTCCCGGCCCTTTCCAGAACGAAACGGACGACAACCAGATCCAGCTGGTGGGAGGTGACGTGGAGCTGCCCAAAGAGCTGGCCAAGATGATCGAGCAGGACAACGAGGAGGAGGAGGAGAAGAACTCGGTTATCGGCCCAAACCTTGTCCCCTTCCCGTCACCCCTGAGCACCGTGAGCCACCAGCCCCAAAAAGTGGGAGCCCCGACACACATCCACCGCCCTGTGTGATCCCCCCCATTCCTCATTTCCATCCCCTAAACCCGGCTGGGTGAGGGAAAGCCGCCCTCACCCCGGAGCCGGGAGCGGAGCTGGAGCTGCCCCTTCCCGGCCAGCTCAGCCAGCCCCTCTTCCCGCGTTACTCGGCAAACATTTCCCAGCTCAAAACTCCTTTTTTTGGAACTTCCACCCAAAGAACGATTCACTAGAAACAATTTAATCAAGGAGAATTCAGCCATTCTTGGAATGGCCACAAGCTCTTCCCCCCCCAAGCCCACCCTTCCTTCAGCACGAGCCTCGCGGCGGTGAATACTCTAAATTGGAGCCAGGCTAATTTTAGTCCGGAAAGGTCAGCGGAGCCAAGTGATATTGTTCAGATTGCTGGATACTGCTCAGCCAGCATGGACACCCACCCCACAGCTTCTCGCCCCTCCTTTTACTGCCAGGAAATAAACAGCTGGAGAATTTTATTTTTTTTCCCCCCTGCCAAAAGCAAGAAAAGGCAGAAGAAGAAGAGAGAGGATTTTTTGTCTCCGGGGGAAATGGGGATTTTTTTCAGCTCTGGCCCTGGCCCCCCCCCCCCCTTCTTTTCCCTCCTTTTTCTGGCTTGAGATG